ATGGTGATTGTGAGGGCCGAGGGAAGGGGAAATGTGGTTGTTTAATGGGTGCAGAGTTTCAGTTTGGCCAAATGACAATAGTCATTTCCAATACTATTGTCACTCTCTGAGTGTACATGCATTATTTAGTCTTTTTAAACTCTACATTTAGAAGTGAACTCTTCTTAACTAAGTTTTTGTTTTTAGTAGAATAGCAGGCACTTAAGCTGATCAGGCAATATTTTTCTTGTTGATAGTAAAGAAGTCACAACTATAGGTTTGAGTATTATTGAGAAAAAATGTTAATATCTGCTACTAAGTTTTCTGTTTAAAAAGGTAGGTCAAATTATAATAAACCAGGGCTCAGTTAATTAGGTGTGTGATCTTTTTATTTTCAGTTTTTATTAGCATATATTAATATACTAATAAAGGGAGTTCATTGTGATATTTCATACATGCGTGTAACTACTTCGATCAAATTTACCCCCTCTATTACTTTCTTATCCTCCCTTCCCCACTTTTTAAAGTATATTAATGGGTTTCAAACAAGCATATAAAGTAAGTTGGTCATATGTACACCTTCTTTCTCCCTACCACTGGCTCCTAACCCCCCCAAAAAAGTCTCCATTTTACACTCTTTTCATTACTTTTTTTAGCTCTAGATTCTGAATATGAGAGAAAACATGCAATATTTGTCTTTCTCAGTCTAGCTTATTTCACTTAACATAATGATCTCCAGTTCCATCCATTCTCCTGCAAATGGCATAGTTTCATTTTTCTTTATGACTGAATACTCCATTGTGCATATATACCACATTTTCCTTATCCATTCATTGACTGGTGGGCACCTAGGATGATTCCATAGCTTGGCTATTGTGAATAGGTCTGCTCAAAGGCAGGTGTACAGGTGTCTCTGTTGTTCCTGACTTAAGATTCCTTTGGATATATGCCCAGGAGTGATGCAGCACCATCATTTGGTAGTGTTGTTTGCAGTTTTTTGAGGAACCTCCATAATGATTTTCATAATGGCTTTACTCATTCATATTCTCACCAACATGAAGATTTGATCTTGGCTTAGTATCACTGAGGTTCTGAGATTCGGAGATAATGGTATTCCACCATGTAGAGGTTGTGAATATGAAATGAGATAACATGTAGAGTTCACTCAACACATTTTGATGTTCAGCAATATTTTATTCATTTTTCTGTCTTCTTCCTGGTTTCCATTCTTCCTCCTTTCTTCCTATTAAAAGACCTACTGTATAAATATCTAAGGCATAGAGTCACCTACTAAATATTGGACTTCATATATGTGTCTATATGTCTACGTGATTATCTTGCCATATTTCCTGTATGCACTAACAGTTTTCATTTTATATGTAATTTTTTTTCTTTTCTTTCTTTTATATGTAATTTTTTAAATGTAAGAGTTGCTTAAATTTTCATGTCACATAAATGGTTATTTTTGATACCTTTCATCATCAACTTATTCTCTTAATCTTTTCTTCCTAAGGAAATAAGTTTTAGGGCACAAAATTGATATATAGTATAGTGAACATGAATAAATTACAAATGCAGATATTGATAAAAGCTAACTGTATGCTGGTGCTCACAGTGAGCCCCCCTTTGAACAATGAATATACACTAAAAAAATGGAGGGCAGAAGTGTACAACAGTTCCTGTTTAGGGGTGGGTACTAGTGGGAGGGTGGAGGGTGAATGGAGAGGGTAAAGGAGAGAGAATATGGTGAATGGACTTTATATACTTGTATAAAATATACCAATGAAACCTGTGAAATGTTTTAAGAAGGAGGGAGGGAATGTGGGAAAAAGACAGAGGGGGTGAGCTAACCACCCAGTACAACTTAAAAAATATAAAAACAGGGGCTGACCGCAGGACTTAAGCAGTCAGTGTCCGCCTAGCAAGTGCAAAGCCCTGAGTTCAAACCCCAGTAGCAACCAAAAAAAAAAAATGCTTACAGACTAGTAAAGAGACGTGAGTACACACACACACACACACACACACACACACACACACACAAATGGTAGAAAATAGTTTATTTTCCTAAAAGACAATAAATAGTCTTTGAAAATTATGTCAAAGTTACCTGTGCCTCCTCAGATTTCATGAAGTTCGAGGAGTAACATTTGGTTTCACTGAAGTCCTAAGAGAAAGGAAATAACTTGTTACACATTGTCACAGGGGCTGCTGAGGCAAAAGCAAAGGTGGAGGAGATGAAATAAATGAAGCTCTGGGCGGTCTGCTCCCTGGGGCTGAACTGACGGCCCAGGGACCCAACTCCTCAGCAACGGCAGCGGGTGCATGATCTCTGAGTTTTTAGAGACTCTAGAAACAAGCAATCCTCTAGAGTCAGGACATAAGGTGCAGACCTAGTTTAGGGAAGCTTCTAGAAGGGGTAGCACAGAAGGAGGAACTTCTCTCATTGTCTTCCTCCTGCTCTCCCTCAGCCATCAGGAGGTCCATTCTTGGAACCACCTCTGACTCAGCATGAATGTGCTTTGGTTCCACTGTACAAGGTACTAAAAATGGACTGATAAGACCTAGAGAATATAATTTCTTCAAATACTCTACGTAAAGGACAAATTGTCACAATTTCCATTAATTAAAATGGCAATTATGGTGTTGAAAAGTGCTTGACAGATTTGTATTTAGTGCTTGAAATCAATACTTGCCATCAAGTCAGGTTCTAATAAATTATCCTCATTTCTATCTTCCTTTTGGCTCCTATCCCTGTGACAAAGTCTGAGCAAAGTTGTCATACTGAGGCTGTATTTGTTTATGTGACAAGAGAAATATTTTATCTAGTAGATTTTCTATTAGAATGTTGTTCCAAAACATAAGTTGATGGAGTCACAGTTGTCAAGGTTGATCATGTGCAATATAAAAAGAGTACCTTATGCAAAATGGGACTGCAAAACTTGTCCAATAATTAAAGAGAGGTTTTTTATTCAGGAGTGAATCTTTATACATGAAGGTGTTCTTATACACTATTTACATTCACTAATTCAATCAGCCAGCAACATATAGAGCACCTGTTGTGTGTTTGACAATGTTTCAGAGAGGACACTTACCTGGAAGGAAGGATTTGATTCATGTGTAGACAGAGAAATTTTGCAAAGAGCAAAGAATTCAGGATTGAGTTTGCTCAAGGATGGGAAGGAGGAGAAGATGGAGGAAGAGGAGGGATGCATGGAGAAGAAAAGGGAAAGAGAGGGAGAGAGAAGACCGTAAATCAGGCAGCCTGGCAATGGAGATTTGGGAAAAACAGATCAGGGAGAAGATGGTATCAGCAATGTCCCTTGTAGAGGTCAGTGGGCTACTGACCAGTCCAGCAGTCAATGCTGATTGATCCATAAGGCCAGTTCCAGGAACACTGCGGAGCAAGTGTTCTTCAAAGAGACGTAGACCTGCTTGTGCTTAGTCACAGAAGGGATGAGATCATACATCTTACCAACTTTTTGGTGCCAAACTTCTTGGAATCTTTTACTGCATGAGAACTTGCTGTTTCCTTTAACTTCTGTAATATACTCAGGTTAATGCAGTATGTGAACTCTTCACTTGTTTTTCCTTACTAAATATATCAGAGACTTATGAACTTTTTCCACTGAAATTATTAGGATATTTGTAGGCACTTTGAATGCTAAATAGATTATATTTGTATTGACTATATAAATAATTAAATAATTTTGACTCCGATCACACCAAACAGTTGTCATTGTAATGGCTCTTTTTATTCTAAATAACTATTTACATGATTAGATTAAAAAGACACACTTTGTATAATTATGAAGCAGTGTGAGTGGTAGGGTTCAAGAGGCAGTGATCAAAAATTAAAACTCATTTTGGAACATGCATTTCACAGCATGAGAACAAAATGTGTTCAGCTGTTCATTTCATATATAGAGAGAAGTATATTTAAAATTAGAATTACACCATTCTGAATTCATAATTCATGCAGTCATGGAGAAATATAAACGCTTCATATCAGTGGGTAGGGAAGAAAGTTAATTTCAACAAAACATTTGGTGTTTAAATATCACTATATAGAACATATTTTTTTTTTTAAAGAAAGACAGTTTGAAGTCAGGAATCAGCAGTATGCCTTTAACAAGATTCAGTGAGAATCCGAAAACTACTGAGCTTGAATTCAGATGGCAAATGGGAAAAACGGTGCTTCTGTGACAAATTGGAGAGCACCTCCCCTGTATAGACAGATCATCGACAATAACCTCATCACTTCTTTACTTCACGTGGAACCAGGATAGACCCTTAGTTCAAGGTTTGATGAACTCCAGCATACTGAGCATTTTGATAACACTCAAAAAATTAGAAGACCCTCATGAGCTGAACATGGGTTTGGCTTGTTTTTCACCCAGAGTGGTGATAGGCTTGCACTGACCAGCCTGTACTCTTGTACTTTGGCTCTTTTGAGTTCAGCACTACATTGAGGGGAGGTTTGCTGGATGAGCCAAACTGTGCACTCAACAAGGGGGCCAAGCTAACAGTGATCCCACGACAGGTCACTGAGCTAACAAGGTGCCTCTTGATCCTATCAAGCCTGAGTAATGGGACTCACGCTCAGTGAAGTATTTTACCAGTTTACCCCCTGCTGTCCCTTCAGGTCCTGCTTTAATCTCTGTCTTAACATTAGGTTAACGTGCCCTCTTTTCCTTCCCTTATTCCACACCCTTCTCAAGAATATCTTTCTAGAATGGAGCTGGTATACAAGCTAAAGCCTAACCATTAAATCTTATGAGGTTTTTGAGTGTTAAGTTTTATCTCCACTGGATTGTTTTTCTTCTTGAAGTTTCCAAAAGGTAATTGGTGATTATCTAAAATAAAGAATTAAAGGGTGTGGGGGTAGAGCCGAATGGTAGAGTATGTGCCTACCATGTGCAGTGTCAATGCGTGCATGGACGTGCTCACACACACATACACACACAGCATATAGAAATTTCTCCTACAAACTTCACCACAATGAGTAGCATTTACTTTTGCAGCGGAAGCCCCCCATGGTGGTGGATGATCTTTTTGAAGACATGAAGGATGGTGTCAAGCTCCTTGCTCTTCTGGAGGTCCTGTCTGGGCAAAAACTGGTAAGGATTTTTTTCTAACATACTTGTTAAATAGTTTCCATTTGAAACTTGGGGGTGTGGGGGATGTGAACATGAGGGGTGCTGCCCACATAAGAAAAAGGTCTTCTGTTTTATAGTTGGTAGGACACCAGAAACACTGTTTTGCCTGTCATTTCAGTTTTCATGGAACAAATTTCTTATCTTGTTCCTGCAAACTCTTAGTGGTCTGAAACTGTGTTTATAGTAGCAACCTGAGAAACAAGAACAAAGAATTTCTTTTTTTTTTTATCTTTTTTTTTGTACTGGGGCTTGAACTCAGGGTTTCACGCTTGCTAGGTAGGCACTGTACCACCTGAGCCATGCTACCATCATCTTGAACTGGGAGGCACACATCGATATTGGGAGAGAGAAATGTTTAGTTTATATATTTGAATAAGAACAAAGAATTTCATCAGTAACCTGTTGAGGCTAACTATTGCATCTGTATATGGTATCTAGGAAGATTAGCTGCAAAATTAATGCATACCTCAATTTAAGTGTTTGCTTCCCATAAAGGATTGTTGGTCCAGATCTGGGTATTTATATAGTTGTTTGTAAGCTTGAAACTAATATGACACTTTTCGTGCTCTTGGTGGTGACATTCTCCATCATCAATCAGTTGTAACCAGAACAGGATGTTCAAAGTGGCGATTTGTTTTTACACGCTGTGAACCCAACAGTGAGCACAATATTGACAGTGAGCTACAAAGTATGTTTATCAGTACATTATCAAATAATAAAACATTTATTTTCTTATTTATGTCTTCTCATTTCAGAGTAGGAAGCAGTAAATAGTTTGTAAACATAAATTATTTATAAGTTAATGTTTTTTTCTGTAATTGGAAAAAAAGAAGTTCTGGGAATAATCTTCACAATGTTATATAACCCACTAGGCACAAAGTCTGGAATTAGCAACACTGTTTTCTTTGTCCCTTACATCTTAGCAGTCATTATTACCTGGATGATTGAGTCTTTAACAGTGTTTTTGCCTGACATTAACTTTCCAGTTAATTTTGTGCAGGGAATCTCAACAACAACTTTTGTAAAGGAGTTTGTTGGGAAAAACAAACTGGTAAGAATATTTTGTGCAACATTTGTCTAATTGGATTCACATTGGAGCAGATGCCCTTGTCACCCTGTGTCCCGTTTCAGCTCACCTTTGACTGCAAATATGTCAGTGGCAGACATTTCCATACATTTTGACAGCAGCTCTCAGGATTGCCACCGCAGGCATTTATCAAAGCTACAAGGTAACATGGCAGCCCTGAACTGTTGGAGAGTTAATGATCTCAAAGGCCCCTTAACCAGTGGAGATGGGAGTCTGTGAATGAATATTTCAGCCTTGAATTTTTAGGAAGGGGGCAGTTCTAAGGCATATTGTACATTAGCCTCATACAAGTCCCCATAGTGTCTCCAGTGAGATTGAGCTCCAGTTGCTCACAGCAGAAACTTCCAGTGGCACATTTTTGTCTTCTTCTCAGTCTCACTCTCCACGCACCCTCACTCATGCTACCTGGGACCACCTCTCCAATTAGCTACATGCGTGAAATCCTTGTCTCAAGCTCTGCTTTGGAGGAACCAAACAGAAAATATATGAACAACCAATTTGGAATGTATGGGCATGTATGTGTGCTAAATAAACTGGCTAAGCATGCAGGGCATGAGAGCACTAGATTGAAACGTATACTCTCTTGATTGCCCGATCTAACTGACCCTTTTCCAAATCCTCCTGAATTAAGCTATTTAGTTAAAGGTTCAAGGAATCTTCCTATGGGTAATAGGGAAGTACATCTGTCAGGCTAAGGGTATAGCTCAGTGGTAGAGTGCTTGTCTAGTATGTATGGAGTCCCGAGTTCAATCCTCAGCACTGCAAAAAAAAAAAAGTATATATATCATTCTAAGCATTAAATATAATCCTTCCATTGTTCTTGGTCAATGGTCTACAGAAATCGTGATGGACATTTAACTGTTGAGCTAAATTATTGTAGAAAAATATACATTTTGGGCAACAATCCCACTTTTGTTTAAGTGCCCTACTTATTTAGGAACAGTGAGAATAATTGGATCTTAAAATCAGGAAGGATTTCAGACAGAATCTCTGCATTCTTATTTAACAGATGGGGAAACTGACACATAGAAGAGAAATTTCCAAATTGACTATCATTGTTTATCTTGAGTCCTCCAAGAATCTGCATTACATAAAATTATTCTGAAAGTACAAAAATGCTTTGGCAATGGTGACTATGCCTGTAGGCATGGTGGGTCAGGCCCACATGGAGATGAAGAGCATCCTGTGAAAGAACAAGCATCCTAGGCCTTCTTTCAAAGGGAGACCGTGAGCAAAAACATTGCCCTGAGGAGTGCTAGAAAGGCCAGGAATTCTACAACCAGCTGAGGGATCTAACTAAGTACACTGTACTTAACGTCACAGTTCACATAACTCAGGCCTCTGTCTCTGACCATGTTATCCAGGAAATGCGCCCAATAGTCTTAGTATTCTCAGATGCCTCCTTATGGCCAGCAATTCAGAGTGAGGGTGGGATCTCAATATCCCAGCCTGATTCAATGACCTAGTGTGACTCCCCATCCATGATTTTCATTAAGGGCTTAGAGAATCTAAAAATCATTATTCTTGGACTTCTTACATCTATTGAGTATTATGTGTGGAACATTTACTCTTTAAACAGATCAGTGGTTATATGTCTTTAATCACACATATACTTTGGAACTGTAAATTTAATTATGTGCTTAGAATTTTAAAGGATGTGAATATTTGCATTGAAAAAACAGAAACAGTATGGTAGAGATTAGGGACCATAGAGAAACTTCCTTCTTATCTATTTTGCTAACCTCTGCAGTGTGTCTTTAACCCTTTGCCTTTAGAAGAAATCTATTAATCCACTTAGAAGTGACCAGTGGGCACTCTTAGGAAACTTTGAACATGAAAAGTCACTGCATGTTCAGTAAGTGACTCTGTCAGTCGTGGATCACTATTTAGGTCCAATCTTAACTCCACAGTGGAGTACAGCATTGTCTGCTCATCACTCAGCTAACATTCTGGAGTCCCTACCATGGATAAGGCTTTCTAATGAAAACACAGATGAATGAAATTCATCTTGAATTATAGCCTAGAAGTGAGAGTAGTTGTACTAGTTAGGATGAGTTATGTAAAAATAGTTGCAAACATATGATGGGACAATGCAATGCAGTAATACAACAGATATTTATGTCCTCCTCATTTAGCCAGAATACACCAGAAGAAGTAAATCTAAGAAGAGGTACTTGTTCTTCTTAACGGCAGATGTTAGGATGGTGCTATGTCCTTTTAGATGGTGTGGGATTGATACAGGGGTTGTAACATTAATAGTTGTAATAAGGTCTAGAAACAGACCAAGAGCTAGAATGGAACGTCAGTATATGTCAGAGGCAGATGTCAGATGTGGGGGTAAGGAGAGATTGCTCCACAAATAGAGTGAGAAAACAGTTTACTCTAATAGGAAAAAGATGACATTGGATCCTTATACCCTATACAGAAAAACCACATTGATGTGCATTAAAGGACCTAATGGCAAAGACACCTGAGTAGAAAATATAGCTGCACATCTTTCAGACACTGGGATAGGACAAAAATAATTTTAAAAGACAAAAATATTGAATATAAAAATTTCTATATTTAACCATGTTGAACTTAAGAAACCTTGAAATAAAGTAACAAAAGGAGTTGCAAACTTGTCAAGACATTCACAATGCCCACTGTGAAAAGCTCAAGAGAGGATTCTATCCAGAACATATACATCAACAAAGCAGTAGGGGTACAACATCCCACAGGAAAACTTGGGCTCCAGACAGGAAAAGGTGTTTTATAAGAGAATTGCACAGATCGGAGGAAGAGATCGCTGATCAGGGAAATGCAGATGAAAACAGTGCATATATTTTATATACATTCAACTGAGAAAATACTTTTTAAAGTCTGCCAGAATGAACTGTTGGAGAGGAATTACATCAAAATGTCTTTTTTGTTTTGTTTTTTGGTAGTACTAGGGTTCGAACTCAGGGCCTTGTTCCTGCTAGGCAAGCCCTCTACCCCTTGATCCATGCCTTAGTCCTAAAAGATTATTTTTAACACTGACAACCATTTGGAAAAGTGTGGCATTACTTTCTAGGGTAAAGGTTACATTCCTGCTGACTCAACAATTCTCCTCTTTGGTATATCACATCCAAGAGAAACTGTGCTCCCACAAGAGGTGACAAAAATAAGACTCATCAGTCTGCATGGGTCACAAAAGCAATAGACTGGAAATAACCCGTATTGACAACAAAGGGAGAGTATATAAACGTTCCGCTAAATATTTTTAAGAATGCAAGGGAATGAAATGAATGTATGTAAGAAGGAAAGTGTTGGGCTGGATTTGATGTGATGGTTGCATTGGCTTGGGTTGAAATCAAGAACAGGGTGTAGGTATTGGTGAGTGGAGGGACAGGGCTTTCACCTTTATTTGTGAGTCCTGACTTTGTTTCAGTTGGCAGGTTCATGAGTGTGCATAAACCAATAATCAGAGTCTATAATATATAACACAGTTCCAAGTAAAGAACACATAAACATTTAAAAAGTATATTTTCTATTTAAATACTTATTTAAAATGAAGATATTACTCAACACATTATCAATAAGAAATAAAACAATACTTGGTTTTGAGTTGGGAACACTAGGGTCAGCGCAGAGAAGTAGCACAGCTACTTCTGAGAGAAATCACTCACCCTCACCTATGCTGATGGTTTCTGTGAAAATAAAGAATGCCAATACTATTTAATTTACTGAAATTTGAATTTTCATCTAGTGCAGCACAGAGAAAGCACAGGTTAATTTTTGTAAAACACAGATAAGATGGTCTCTCTATGTACCAGAACACACTGCCATGACATCTTTATTCTCACAATTCTGTTTTTTAATCTTGTCTCATAGGCTTCATATATTTTGGGCATTCAAATAAAAAAGTGTTACTAATAATATCAGAAATCCTTGCATGTTCACGTGACTGGAAAATTGCATAGTGACTAAGAGTATTTTTCATATAAAGATTTCCTAACATATAGGAGGGACAGTGTCAATAGAAAACATAGGAGTTCATTGAATTTCTGCTCTTAGACATGCAGAAGCCTACAAGGCAAATGCATTAACAGGTAGGTTGGAGATGAAGGTCTTGTTGAGGTACACGCCTTCAGAACACCATGGAGACAGCACTCCTTTGCATATTTGCTATCCTTCAGACAAATTTGATTATGTTCGTCACTCTTGAGTATTCTTCAAGTATATTTTCAATCAATTTATGGGGATTTTAAACCTATTTTGGTGTGTACATTGCTACTTATTCCTGTTCTCTGTTCTTCCCAGCCTTGTGAACAAGGACGCCGCACAAAACGCATCCACGCTGTGGCTAACATTGGAACTGCGCTCAAATTCCTTGAAGGAAGAAAGGTAAGAAGCAAAGCAATGACTTAAAGAAGAAGGCAGTGGCCATGCCAGTGTTTCTGCTATTAGCTGTGGGGTAAAACCACCACAGACATGCACTATTACCGTTACTATTACAGAGAAGTTGCAAAAAAGAGATTTCCACTTTACGCTCCTTCCTCTAATGCTGAGAACTTATGTAACTGTAGCACTTACTTATTGAAGGAAGAAAATTAAAACTGACATGATTCTGTTCACTGACGCACACACATTGGTCTAATTCCCTCAGTTTTCCCCGTCACAAATCTCTCCCAGGCTTCAATCCAACATCACACCATGCATTTATTTGTCTGTCCATTCCTATTGCAAATCTTCATTCTTTCCTGTCTTTCATGACCTTTGACACTTTGAAACTTCCAGTCATTTTTGTAGAATGTCTCTCAATTTGGGCGTTTCTCATGTTTTCTCATGATTAGACTGAAGTTGTATGTTGTTGGCAAGAGTTCCAAGGAAGTGTGACACATTCTTCCCACTTCAAGTCCATATAGGATTCTGATATGTATTGTTGCTGGTGAGTAAGGGGAGCAATGACAGAGGTGACTTCATTTTGGATGACAGAGACACTTTAGAAGCAGACATCTAAAAGGGTGTGGGAAACAATGGGCTTCTCAGAGAAATAACAAGTCCCTTACCAAAATAAGAAGATGCAGCTGCACAATGTAGATCGTGTGCTCCAAGGCCAGGGTGAGTTGAGTGACTTTCAGGGCCAGGATGAGTTGAGCGACTTTCAGGGACAGGATGAGCTGAGCATGTTCTTGGAATGCTCAGTTCTATAAACAGAGGGAGGGACAGGCAGCTGAATTCAGTGAGAAACTGACTCAGTGTAAAACAACCACAGCATAGTTTCAAGATAGAATAGTTGTACCCAAGCCAGGCAGAGTCCTGTATCTCTCCTAGACTTTATCTATACTAAGGTGTTAGCTTTCCTAAGCCCTTCCCAGGGGGGAGCTGGCTATCCTTTCAATAAACTGTGCTTGCTTTACTTTTAACTCCTGGTCCAGCATCTTCAATCACTGACTTCTCCAGGACATGAACTTGGGATTGAAAATCTAGTATCAATGTTAACCTTGGTCACTTGGTAAGGTGGTGTCTTAGCCTGTGTTCTGCGATTATAACAAAATACTCAAGGCTGGATAATCTATGAAGAAGAAAGTTTGTTGGGCTCGCCATTCTAGAGGTGGGGGAATCCAAGAGCGTGGTATAGGCACCTGCCATTTGCTGTATCACAAGATGGTGGACAGCATTACATGGGGAGACAGAGTAGGCATGGGTCAGCTCAGGTTTCTCTTCCTCTTCTCACAAAGCCCCAGTCCCACCATGGGACTTTAATGATCTTATCTAGACCCTAGTAACCTCCCAGAGGCTGCATCACCAAATACCATGAACAGGAATTTGAGGATCGAATTTCCAATGCATGAAATTCGGGGGATATATTCAAACCATAGCAGAGATGGCTGCCATTTTTGTTCTATGGTAATGTTACTATTTTTCCTCTTCTAGTTGAGAAGTAACCTAGGGGAGATAAAAAGGACTATGTTAATTTTGGCTTCCCCTCAACCTTTTACTCACTGTCTCTCAGACTTACTTCTGTACTATTTGCTTGCTGACAACTTTGTTTCTCTCACTCCCTCTACATTTATTGATATTATTCTATAAGAAAAAGATGTCCTTTCTCCCCTATTTGTTACTTATTCTGTCAACTACTTATTTATTTCTTTATGGATCAGTGTATATTTGTTTTTATTTTATAGTTATGATCAACCGTTATTATTGCTGTTGTTGTTACTCTGTTGCTCAGTCATTCCATCTGTAATGTTATGACCTTCTTTGGTTGGCTTTCTACATGGTCTCCCCCTTTTCAAGCACTTTCTTATTTTCTGCAACCACAGATGTCCCAGGATTATCTTGTTTTCCCTGCCCCGGTGCTGGAAGCAACCACTTCTCTAGGAGGCTTTGCTCTTTTTGTCTTTTTACTGGTGCCTGGTCTTCATCAACCCAGTCCTGGGAGCTGTATCTGCTTGTGGGGTGTCATTGTGCTTAGGCCTCTCAGCAGAGAGATGCAGAAGAAAATATGTATGTTTGCCAACCCATGTGTTTACATACATCCATGCCTCTCTCTCGCTCCTTCTCTCTCCCTCCCTCCCTGTATGTATATATATATATATATATATATATGATTCCAGCCCAACACAACAAGGTTAATTCTGTCCATACCTGATTTTTGTTTCTACTTTCTCTGATGGTGGGAAACCTGGCTGTCATCTACAATATATTCACTTATTTTTTAAGGCCATGAAATAGTTCAGAATACTGACAGGAAACAGATTTACTAACTTGAGAGGGTATCTGTGCCCAGTTCTTTTGGGGGTGAGTGTTAGAGTATCCAGTCAAAAGGCTGTTCTCCAATGCACTTAGCTTGGTTCCATTCTCCCCATTCTCTTTAGGATGTCTGCATTATTCATCTGTAATAAAGTTAATCTGCTGCTGTTTGTATTTCATTGTGTATTCCCTATGCCTGTGCATGTACATGCACATATGTACGCACATTTGCACACACACATATACACACACTTGGATGCATGCGTGTAAAGGATAACATTCTATGGTTGTATTTTGATTTTTATTTAGAAGTGTATCTTGGAAATCACCCCAAATCAGTTCATGTAAACTTCCTTATTCAGTGTTTACAGCAATAATAAAAGTAGAATGCCATTGCTGGGATGTGCTGTTGTTGTTCAAGCACTCCTATGAATGGGAATTTACCTTGTTTCTGATACTTTTCTTTTTCTGTACTGGTTTATATTACATTGTACATCATAAGGGGTTTCATCATGGCACTTCCGTATGTGCATATGATATGCTCTGACCAGCTTCACCCCCTCCATTAACTCTCTCTTATCCCCCTCCTTCTCCTCCTTTTCCTTCTTCTTCCACTTTCTTCTAATATTTATCAAACACAAACAACGATGCAGTTAATTACTGTGTACATAAGAATTTTCATATTATTGGAGGTGTGTTTTCTAGGTAAATTCCTAAAATGTGATTGCTAGATCAAAAGGTAAGCGTGCATGCCATGTTGTTAGATGCTGAAACACTTTCCTCCAAAAGGGCTGCACCTCTTAAATTTAGGGGTATTTAGGATGTCAGTACTTGGGAACACCAAAGCTAGTTGTATAAATGGATTTCCATACACTTCTGAAAGCTAGAATGATCCTATTATTTCTTTCTTAGTCTACATGCTCTAAATTAATCCCTATACTCTACAAATGTCTAATTGAATATTTTCTATAAGATAGGAACTTGAAGAAACTTAGATTCTGACCCTTAACTCATTTGCATTTTTGGCAGTACTGGGTTTTGAACATAGAACCTAATGCTTGCTTACACCAATCCTCCCGGTCCTTTTTGCTTTTAGTTATTTCTCATGTAGAGTCTTACACTTTTGCCCAGGGCCAGCCTCAGACAGCAATCCTCCTGCTTTTGTCTCCCATGTAGTTGGGATTAAAGGTGTGTACCACTACACCAGGCCCAATAATGTACATTTGATAATGGAATGAATTAATATAAATTTTAGCGAACTATGCAAATTTCATGCTTTAGAATTCTGAACTTTATTATGAATAACACACTTCATGAAATCTTGATTGGGAATTATTGAGCTACAGGGGTAAGGAACAGTGAGCATCTTTTTTCTGACTTCTTTAGAGATTACAAAAGGGTAATGAGCAGTTGTTGATTGCATTCTCAGTCACAGATGAAGAGACTCACCATGCAAGTCCATTGTGCTTGTACTTAGGAAAGGAACCACTTTAGCAGTTGGGAAAATATCAGAATGAACAATTGCACACAATTACACACAGATTGATATCTGTCTGAACATTTTATAGTTCATTGACCCAAAATAGGAGACTCAAGGCTAACAATCTCTTCCTGTCTTACTATTTCTTGTCTTTCCTTTGTTCCTCTTTAAAATCTATTCCCAAAGTAATTCTCTAAATAGTACCTTTTTATTCCCTTTGAAAAAGGAATGCAGATTTCAAAGGTTATGTATATATGCATATTATCTTCTCCCTTTGTTTTCCATGTCAGTCCATGTACAGAGGATCACCGGTTAGTACAAATTTTAGAATTTTTAACTCCTGCTTTTTATAGGTAAAAGACAACCTAAGTTTCATGCTATTTAGTAGCAAAGTTCAAAGTAAGTGCACCTTCTTAAATTACTCATAATGGTTTCCTTTAAGTTCCAGTCAACCTGTAAATGTAAAGAATAATGATATTTGTTGGCATTTTTGTTGTTAATTTTCTGCATGATGTTATTTTTTTTTCAACTTTAAGCGAAAGAAGATTGTGAAATCCATTTTATGGTCATTTGCATTTTGTGCACCTAACAAATACCCCTAAATTTTCACTGAAACCATGTGCTTGTGTGGATTCGTGACTCACTCTACTTACTTGTGTGTATACTACATAAGCATGGCCAATTCTTTTTGATCTCTAATAAAGTCCTAATTATTGAATAATATTCAAGTACATTACTAGTACAGTGTTTCTTTTTAAACAGATTAAATTAGTCAACATTAACTCCACTGACATAGCTGATGGCCGGCCATCAATAGTTCTTGGATTGATGTGGACCATTATTCTGTATTTCCAGGTACCGTGCTACACTTGACTTTTTACTTTATGTTATATCATGAAAGGAGAGAATGGTAGACATTTTATAAATCCCTTCCTTGCCCCACCTTTCAGGGGTAGGGCAACTTAGCAGAAATGTGATCTTCATACATTCACAGATTTTTGGTGGCAGGAGAATTTGCTCTTCTCCCCTGCAAAGGTGGAGCCGTCCACCCCAAAGAACTTCAGCAGAGGCATGACACAAGGGAAATGAGTACCCACATAGAAGGACCTCAGGAAAAAAGTTCTTTCTCTGGCAGGAATTAGTTCTAGGGTCCTCTCAGACATGATGGGGAGAAATTATCTTGCTATTTCTTCGCAGATAATTGTTCTAATCATCAGGTTTTACTTTAATAATAGTTGTATTAGTTTATTTTTCAATGCTACAACAAAATTAACTGAGAAAGAAAAGAAGTTATTTAGCTCGCAGCTTTGAACACTGAAAATCCAGATAGAATGCGGCCAGATCAACAAGTGTCCCCCTGACCACACCACACCACGGCAGCTCAGATGCCATCCTGGCAGAAGCACATGCAAGAAGAAGAAGTCAACATGGTGAGACCGGAAGCCAGAGAGAGCAAGGAGGTGCTAGACTTTCCCCTTCAGAACAGCCTTTTCATGAGATCTAGCCAGGGTCCCATAAGAAATAACCAGTTCCTTCCACGTGCAGCCTCCCCAGTGATCTCCCACTACAGTCCACCTCCCTAAGGTCCATCACCTCTCAGAATCACCACACTGAGGACCAAGCTTCTGACACTTGAGTCCTTGGGAGACAAACTCAAACCATACCCAAACAATTGCATTAACTTATGCATGCAAATAGCTACTATTTGTTACTGTGTGTAAGATACAGTTAGCATAACAGCAAATATAAAAGGGAGTAAGATATGAACTCTTTCCTGTGGGAGGTTACAGTTCTCAAGAGTGTTAAGATAAATGACATTTAGTTGGAAAAGTCAACTCCCTGAGGAAAGAGGAACAACAATAATAGTTTTATTTTTTGTTCATAAACAGATTGAAGAGCTGACTAGCAACCTGCCACAGCTGCAGTCATTGTCCAGCAGTGCATCCTCTGTGGACAGTATCGTCAGCATTGAGACCGCCAGCCCACCAAGCAAACGCAAGGTGGCCACCAAGATCCAGGGTAATGCTAAGAAGACACTGTTGAAATGGGTTCAGTACACAGCAGGAAAGTAAGTACCACCAGCTTGCTTAAATCAGAAACCCTCGAATGATCTGAGTTATCAATTTATTGCTTATACGTCCTGTGATGATTGCAAAATTTGAAGAGATTTATTCTCAATCATTTATTCAGATGACTGCTTTAGCTCTTGTCTCATTCTCTTTGAATTAAAACACAAACATGGAGTCACCACTAACACTCTAGGAAACTGGAGTAATAAAATTAATTCCTTCTTCATTCATGTGATTGGGCCTGAGTAATAAAACTGATCAAACCTTCACTTTTGATTAGTAGCACAAAGGATTATTCCAATCAACCCGTTATTTAAATTAAATAATTTTTGCACAAATAAGTTAGAACTTTACATCTGATTATCTTTTCATAAGGCTATTGAGTTCTATTTAATAACAATAATATGAACTAAGTACCACATTCTAAAACATAGGATTTGTTTTTATCTCCTCAAACTTCCTAGGAATTTTGTTTTTCCCTTTGGATTTATCTTTTATCCGAAATGTAGATTCTATTGTCAACCCTAATTTTATGGGTTGACATCCAAATCTAAATCTATCAAATCTAAATTTCTATTTGTACACATTTTTGTTATAATTATGGGTAAAAGCTACTGTGGTCAAAAGGTACCTTCTCATAGCAATTCCACTGGGTCTTTCAGTTGATCATACCAATATTTTGTGGTGCGATATGGTCAGGACAATTTCTGTACTGTACAAAGTTGTGATTTTGTTTGCTCTTCCACAATGACATGTAACATTAACTTGATTTCTCTGTCAGTTTGCACATCTCAGCCTAATCTGAATCCGATTTTCTACTTCTGGAAAATAGTTGTAAATAAGTACTTCTTATAAAATGTGGAGGGGCTAAACATAGGAGCCTCTAAAGTGTTTGAAAAGCAAAACCAATGAACAGAAATGCACCACCATTTCCAACCCAGAAACATTTTTGAATGAGAAAATAAAAGCAAAGGGAAAATATAGGTAAAAAAGTAGGATAAAGAGGTGTTATATGAATGAATAGTTAACAAGGACAAACTGTTCAACCTCTGTGAGTATCAGATACATGCTGAAAAAATTTGTCCATACCACCAGAGACAGAAACACCAAAAGAACAAAAAGAAGATTCAAAATGAATTTATAATTACTGGAGCTGTGTGGAATTGGTTTTAAATATTGATTTATGAAACCCACAATTAGGTCCAATGGTGCTACTTTTAGCACACAATATTTTATGCAAACTGAACCTGAAATTTGCTGAAATAAAATTTAAGGGCACTTATAACTGATTAAGAAGTATATTAGTCAGATCATATTTTTCATGGAAAATTTGAGAATCTAGTAAAAACTAATTAAATGATGTTCCTGCTATATTTAGTAATGCTATAAAGTTAATAGAGCCATTTAAAAAAAAAGAAAGAAACTATCAGATACCTGTATTGAATGTTAATTAAGCGATCCATTTATAGGTTCAACACTTATCATGGGGTGGTACCAATGCTCAGACACATCCTTGTGACTCTTTTTGGGGGGTCAGTCATATTTTTCTTGGCGGTACAGGGCCAGGAGCTCTCCTGCCCAGGCCATGCCTGCACTTTGCAACTCTTTTTGGAACCACTTTATAACTGACAAGTTCCATGTAGAAAAGAATCTTGCTTTCATCCTTTGTATTTTCACTAACAAAATGTTACCAACTTGATCAGCTTTCTTAATTATGATTGTCTTTGAATTAATCAAATGCACCACCAAGGAACAATGATTGCTCTTGAGACAACTCCACAAAGAGAGGATTAAAACAATTTGGGTGCTGGGCAGCTGGAGCTCATGGCGTTGTTGTCTGGACTCAGTGGAATAGACTCCTTTGTGTCCACTTTGCACATGCGACCAGATCCTCAGCCTTTCTACACACTAATGCATTTGACATGATGTAGTCACAGTATGTTCGTCTCTTATAAACCGTGCCTGACACATTGCTTAGAAATGTGTGAGATGTTTCTTCAGCAAATATACTATGGTTAATTATTATCACTTTTGATATTTTTACCATTTTCCCTTTTGCAATTTTGTCACAGGTTTTTCTCTCAATTGTGTGGTGAAGATCTAAAGGCTCTCATATTGAGGCCAGCCCCACCAAAAAATTCTCAACACCCCCTCTTAACCATTGGCTCAGTGTGGTGGGTCATACCTCTCTTCCCAGCTACCAAGGGAAGCACAGATAAGAGAACAGCAGTCCAGGCTGGTCCGGACATAAAACAAGACCCTCTCTCAAAAATAACCAATGCAAAAATGAGTGGTGATGTGGCTTAAGTGGTATAGTGTCTGTGTAGGAAGTGTGAGGCCCTGAGTTCAAACTCCAGTACTGAAAAAAATGGGTTTTCTTTCAACAATAAGTGTAAAAATGTGCTTTAAGTTACTCATCTCAATTACTGAAAAAAATCTCAGATAGAAAACTGTCAAAAAAAAAAAAGAAAGAAAACTGTAGGTATATAACTACATATATAATTATAACATTACCTTATTGCCCTCTAAAAATTAGTTTTGCCTTTTTTTACTCAGCATTGGTGCGAAGCATGGGGTTTTATGAGAGGCTTTGAAGACAGTGCTTGGACACACCTCTTTGGAATGTGACATTATTTTCTGTGTCTGTCACACCAAGGCAGATAGGGATAGAAGTGAAGGACTTCGGGCGGAGTTGGCGAAGTGGGGTTGCCTTCCATTCAGTCATCCATGCGATCCGACCTGAGCTGGTGGACTTAGAGAGGGTGAAGATCAGATCGAACAGAGAGAACCTGGAGGAGGCTTTCATGATTGCTGAAACGCACCTGGGCATCCCAAGACTGCTAGATCCTGAAGGTAGGTCAAGTAATTGTTCACCATTGTACCCTCACAATGGGGTATGTGTTGGTACTGAACCTCAACTTGCACAACATCTAAGACTCCATTTGGGAACAGAAAGCTGAAGGGAAGCGAGAAGAAATGTCCCCCTCCCCCCACTATCTTCTGGGCAAATATTTGCCACCATTTGTTTTAGAACAAAATACCAACCATTATTCCAAACACTTCTTTGGCACTGATATAGCCAATAAAATGTAGTTTATAGGCAGATGAACTGAATTTAAGGTTGGAATGAAAGTTTTAGAAGTGGGAGGGTTGTAACAGGATAAAAGAATTACTATATAACTCCCAAGAATCTGGAAGAAATCGAAGATTGTTAGTACTGTAAGGTCATATTTTTAAAAGATTGGTCATTAGAGCTGAGCATAGTGACTAACACCTGTAATCCTAGCTGCTCAGAAGGCAGTGAGCGGGAGGATCACAATTTGAAGTCAGCCCAGGCATAAAGTTATCAAGATCCCTACTTCAACAAATAAGCCAGATGTGGTACTTCTTGTCTATAGTCCCAGCCAAGTAAGAAGCCTAGATAGGAGAATAATAGTCCAAGGCCAGCCTGGGAAAAAAGCAAGAGACCTATCTGAAAAATAACCTAAAGCAAAAATGGCTGGCAGTGTGCATCAAGCGGCACAGCACTTGTGTATGAAGTCCAAGGCCCTGAGTTCAAACACTAGTACTGCCAAAAATAAATAAGAAAAAGATTAGTCATTAAATAATTGGAAATGTTGGTGATCATCCAGTGTTTTGCTGGTTGAACAAACTACCCAAATGGTTGACTGACATTTTTCATTACAATTGTTTGGCATATTTTTGATAAAGCTATGAATTTATGACTTTCTAGAAATGGAGTGAATTCTTTCAAGTCTTCAAAAGACAATTCTGACACCATCAATAAACTTTTATAAACTAACTAGTAAGGTGTTGATTATATTGAAATAAAAGTATCCAAATAAATTTTCCAAAAATCACAGATAATTTCTTATTTGGGTGGACAGTTATAGAATTTTTTTTAATGAATGCTTGAATGTAACTGTAACAGCGTAAAGCATCTTTTTAAATTAGTATTGGAATTACAAAATGAACTCTCATAACTCTAAAACAAAGAAGATACCCTTATATTTTCAACAGAAAGCTACAGAGTCCTGGGTGGGTTTCCTCTGAGGTGGGAGTTCCCTGCCATGTTAGATTCCTGCTGGGCCCTACGTTCACCTGCATAAGGACTTTCCATCTCATTTCTGCACAAGAAGGGCAAGAAGGAGTCCCCCACATATCCCAGCCATCAACTTCAGAGGCTGTGAGAGAACTGAAGGTTTCCTGTTGTAGACTAGAAGATCTTAATATCTTCTTTCATGATAAGAAACTGAAGTTGCTCAAATACAATAATGTTCCAGACATAAAGTGATTCTTATTTTCCTGATGAAAATCCCCTTTCCAAAGTTACATAGCCACAGGCAAAGTGGCCCAGCCTGAAATCCCAGCTCTTGAAACACTGAGGCGGAGTATCATGAGTTTGAGGTCAAAATGGGCTGCATAGCAAGAACCTGTTTTGAAACAAAAAACCCCAAACAACAAAACCCCATAAAAACAAAGTTACTTAGCAAACTTGAACGTATAAACTCTTAAGAGTATAAATTAAATACACCAGTATGCATTTTAATGATTATTTTATAATTTAGGTACTTGTGAATTACACACCATATACCATGTTAAATCATGTATAAAATGTTGCTTTTTTCCACATTCACATTCCTGAGCCAGTTTTATCCATTCTTCACGTGCATCTTCACTTTCAGAGATCTTGCTATTTCTGAAATCACCTTTAAGTCATCTATGAAATTCCTTTTAAGTCAAGTGGGTCGCAACACCTTTTCAGTCCCACACTGGTATGGCCAGAGTTTTATCTCAAGTCAAAAGTAATCTTTTATATTTTGGTTAATTTGCTTGCTTTTGGCTCACAGTGTAACATGCTGTCACTTTTATTGCCTTTAACATAGACATTTAAAGACTTGTTTACAACATTTGACACTTTATTTTGCCAGATTCATCCCATATATAACTATGAAATCTGTATAAATATTTTTGGCTTATAATGATTTTAGCAGGCAAATACCTGTAGTTTCAACACAATGGTGATTTAGATTTTTTTTCAGGCTGTGTCTCCCTCAAAGTATACTTGATTATGCAAAATACTGCAATTTAAACTGAGTGGCCCCACAGTGAAGAGCTGTCTCAGAAGCTGAATCTAAGCTATCTTCCATTCTTCTAAAGCAAAACTTGTGGGGACAGGGGAGTTACCTGTGTTTGGTCATCTGTGATAGCATACAGCCTATCATTTAGCACCACAACTAGAAGCATTTTCATAGTATCTGCTCACCCCAGTTCTAAACTTGGCAGGCTAAGAAATTTGTCATTTCTTAACTAGACAGAATGTCTGAGTAACCATAGAGCATCTGGGATTTCTGATGAATTCATGTTGAGATTACTTAAATGGAACACACACTACTTTCCTAAAAGCTTTTGGTTAAAATGTGTCACTTTCCTGACTCACAAAATTTCTACCATGTATTGTCCACATGAAAGTAGTTTCTCTTTCCTCTCAAAATCCTAGATCATAATTCTGTTTTCTTTGTGTATTTAGGACAGTGTGCAATAGCTAGATTTCAAAACTTGCGTAACTTAAATCCAGTGGCTGCTAAGCGCTCATTCACCTGTGGGTTTGGCTGTTCCAGATGTGGATGTGGACAAGCCAGATGAGAAGTCCATCATGACCTATGTTGCCCAGTTTCTGAAACGCTATCCTGACGTCCACAGTGCAGGCACCGATGGGCAAGAGAATGATGTAAGTTTGTTTCCTTTCAGTATTGATATCACACTCAGTTGCCTCAGATTTTTATGGATACTATTTTTAAAAATAAACTGGAATGCATTTTACTATGAGAGTAATACCAAAAAGAAATATGATTAGTGAGGAAAGTCTCTGGTTTGGATGTTAGATGTGTCAGAGGGAGTGTTATTAATAAATGAATGCTATGTTCAATGTTGAACAATGAAAACTGAGGAAAGATAGCAGTGTTGAGAATTCCATTTCGCTAATTTGAAGATTGAAGTAACTTTATACTCATCACATCATTGGTACCCATAGATCTTGAGTCTCCTTGCTCTGCCTGATGACATCAAATTTTGACTTTTAGATTTTATTTCAATTTACAGCAAGCATGAAAGTAAGGCATAATTTGTAAAAGTTCAAGTTATTCACCATGGTTAGATTTTTTTCACCTTTCAATAATTTAAATAACATTTACATTTTGTCACAGTCCTCAAATGATATATATTTAGTGTCATGAATTTTAAAATATTGTAAACAAAAAAGGAAAATTATCTATACTTGGTCTTCTAGACAGAAACTATCCCAGGAAAAAATTAATATCGTACTATTAATTCCCAAAATTTTCTATGTATTTGAAGATTCATAGTATTTTAACAAAAATAAAGTAATAGTATATATATAATTTTTATAATACTTTTTTCATTAACATTATAAAGAACTATGCACATTCTTCATACATATGATAATATGTATGTACAATAAATTATTTCCCCAAATTTAATTACTATAAATTTCTAATTTTTGCTGTTACAGATAATACTTTTATAAACAATCTTGTAATAAAGTTTTGTTGTAAGATCCTTTGAAATGGAATTACTAGTTTAAAGTGCATGTAAAATTTTAATGCTTTTAAAATTGTTTTTCAAATTTCCCTGTAGAAAGTTTGCCCCAGAATGCCTGGTTTCCCAGTCTACCAAAACAATAGATAGGACCATTCTCCTGATATTTTGGAAATAGTGTTGTATTTTTTAAATTACAGAGGAGTGGATTTACTGCAAAATTTCAGCTTAATTATAAAGCAAAATGGCTCCATGGAAAATAACAAATGAAACTGCCAAGATGAGCCTCTCTGTCCTCATTGTGGAGAAGATCTAGTTTACAGTGAAGAGTGATTAGGAAAATAAATAATTTTAAATGTGTTTTCTTTTTTGTTGTTGTTGTAAGAGTTTTATTTTTTTAATTATTCATTTATTCACATGTGCATACATTGTTTGGGTCTTCTGAAGACTTGGAGACAAACCAGAAGAAGGAAAGGGCCAAGGAAGCATTTCACTAATAGTTCAAAATCAGTGACTTCATGAAAGAATTAAGCCAAACTAAAGCTAGTGGTGTTTCCTGGGTCTCTTGGCTAAAGTTAATATGACATTTGACAGAGCTATGCTAGTTAGGAAAAGTTTTTTTTTCCAGGATTCAGGCACAAACATTGACCACCAGAATAATTTAGCTAGAGTTAGTAGAACAAATATTTTTAAGAAGCACCACAAAAGTCTAAAGCAAAGAATATGTGCACCTGCTAGCATTGATTGATGCAAGCACTTTGGAGTTATTTGGGAGTTTGTGGGCTTTGACAGTGTAAGTGAACCTGGGATTGCTGTGTGAATAAGAAGCTCTATAAGAAAACATTTTAGATTCACCCCATACAGTGCAGAGAACATCAGATTCCATGTCTAAGATCCTTATATTATCCAGATGAATTTATAACTGGTTTGTTGTAGTTTTTACTGTTTTAACTTATCTGACATGAATCATCTCTCCAGATAAGGAAACTTTGTGGCTGGAAACATGTGAGAAAAAAGGAGATGCTTTCATGAGTACTCATGAGCAAGAGTTTATTGTAAAAATCCTTACAGATATGAAACACACACACACTCACACACACACACACTCCTGGTACTGGAGTTCAAACTTGGAGCTTTGCATTTAGTAGGCAGATGCTCTATCACTGGAGCCATGACTCCATCCTTATTTTGCTCTGTATTTAGTGAGCTTTTAAGAATTTATAAGCATATATATATATATATATATGTATTAGTGTAGTTGATATCATCCCCTCAGGGTACTCGGTATATGTCTACCCAGATCTTAGTAAATCTCCTAAACCATTTAAAAAATCATGCATCAATATATCTACTAGGTTTCCATTTTTCTGTGTGAATTTGATTTTTATAAGTCCACTTAAATTAAATATTTTATGGATACCTTTAAAAATAATTTTCTTACTGGAAATAGACATTGTCATTCATTCTTCAAGAAATTAAACTAATAAAAATATTTTTTTCTCTCAAGATATTTCTTGGGTAATTTGTACTTAGTTGTAAATAAGTAAGATAGGTCTATTGGCTTCTCTCTCTTTCCTAGTAAACTTTTGGGTTTTTTTCCACCCATCCATTCTTCCACTACAACAAATATGACTGACTGCTCTCAGAAACACAGCACATTCTTAATTATGAGAGTCACAAATTCATACATGTTGTTAGTGTATTTATAGGGAAAATTAAGGGTCCATCTAGCTCCTTTTTTTAATGTAGTTCTCCTGAAATGCTTAATTTTATTTCAGAACACACTTACAAACTGTGTATTTCCCCAGATGACCATTTCAAATTAAAATTTAAACATCATTTTGCAGACAGCTACCTTGACATGCTGGAACTTATGAAAACATCTTAAAGTAATCATGCCCTTAAAATTATTGCCTATTTATCTATAGACAGATGCCCCATCCATTGACTTTCTTCTCATTCGCTACATATTTTCTGCCCGATTTATGTTATGTTTCTGTATATTATCTTTTCACATTGTTAGGAAATACTTCCAGTTTTCTTACCTTTTGCAAATTCTATCCAGAACTTGAAGGTAAGCTTTACATGACCTTGAACGAGTGAAGTGCTTCAAATCCCCTACATTCTATAGCTTGTTAGGCATTCCTTTGCATGTACTTGTCTGTATGTACACATTACTTTTCATACCTTCACAATGTTAGCTCCTTTCCTTTCTAACAGAATGAATGACATGCATATTTGTTATTAAATGCTGTGATAGTCTAAGCCACCCCTGTGGGCTTGCCCACTAATCTTTAATTATATGAAAGCATCTCTTTTCCTTTTAACACTTAACAGCACTAACGAAAACTTTACACTAATTATGTTCAGTTTCTTGAAATGTGACATGGAAAATAAAAATAAAGTTAAGAGTTTATTTTTCTATCTTAAAATATTAAGCAGAAAATCACTGAACAAGGTAAGTATTCAGTTAATCAGTATGAGTTTCCTCACATCTGTTTTGCAAGTATTTAGATCAAAAATATTTGTGGAATGAATGCTTTTAAATTCTTGATCATATTCAAGTTTTGAGAGCTAGTCTATACTTTAGCTTTTCCATCCTTCTATACGTCATAGGTAGGCCTGTGGTTAAACATCTATCAGTGCAAAAAATTTTATGCCACCATTAGAACAGAATATCAGAAGTAACTAATTTCATGTCAAATATTAAAGTATTTCATGCTCCATGAAGCTTATGTTTATGTAAACATGACACAAAGATATAAATGTGCCTTTGTGCTTGTGAGAGAGAAAGAGAAGAGGAAGAAAGAAGAAAGTGGAGAGGATGCTGACAGTTAAGCCACTTGGTACTCAGATGGCTTCTGTAGGCAATAGTCCCCCATATCTTTTGAGTGCATGTGAAAATTAGCAAGTGAGACTCCAAATACTGTTTCATACCTCACTTTCCTCCTGGAAAGGAGAATGTTTAATATAAAAGTAGCTACATGTTTTCTCTTGTGCACCTTTCCAACCACCAGAAAAAGTCATTCAGTAAATGGACTTTAAGAAAGTTATTTTAAGAACATAATCCTCAGATGACTTCTCTAAGCAATTTCAATTAGTAACAAACAGCTGCTCCCAGGGGCAGTCCCAAATGTGTCTCTCTTAGAGGCTGCAGTGAAGCACCATGCTTTCTGTGAGGTTACAGTGGTACCTTGGAGATGTTCTTTAAATGTCCGAGGGCATTTTTTTCTCTGACGCATAAGAATGCATTAACAGTGCTTTTCTGGGCAAGAAAATCAACCAATAACAAAGTCTGTGCTTTGATTCTGTGCCCCTGACCCTTTGGAAGAGCATCTTGGGAAGAGCTGAGCCTTGCAGCATCTGGCACCAGTTACACATTGTCTTCATAACCACATTCCCAAGGAACCATTATTCCACACTCATGTTGAGTGATACTGAGTGCCAGGCCTGTGTTAGGCACTGGAGATAAAAACAAACATGAGAGATTTGTGATTTAGGGAAAAACACACAAATAAGGACCAAACACAGTGTGATGCCTTTGGTTGAATATTGGAGTTTAGATTGTTACACAATCATAGAGAAAGGTTCTCAGTCCTGGGTTCATCTGGACACTTGTTAGAGATGCAAATTCTTGGCCCTTGCTCCAGATTTACTAAATTGGAAAGCCTGGATGTATCTCTGTTTTATCACAAGCCCAGGTGTACTCTGAACTTTGAGAATCACTGGTATAGAAGAGAAACTCTGCTCTTAGACTTCTGGGTCACAGAAGTTTTCCAGAAGGTCTGGGGAGAAATGGAAAGACAAGTATTTAGGCATAAATACTTTCTGGTACTATTTGCAAGTACCAGAAAGTCATGTTAAATATATCTATGTTTATTTTGACCTTCTTGCAAGATATGAAGCCTTAATGGAATATTAGAATATTTAATCAGAGCCATTCTATGGCTCTGATTATTAATGGAAAAACTATACAAATGAATATTGGATGCATTCACTCAGTGACTGTCTTGGTAAATCTCTTGCAGGAACTATGTTTCAAAGGATCTAGGAATACTACATTGAGCAAGATAAATGTGTTTTTTCTCTACTTGGAACATATGACATTGAATATCACTTTAAAATAATAATATGGGCAATTTGTCCATTATTGTGACTGCAACTGCTTGAATTTAGTCAAAATTAATTCCATCCAGAACAGTCCCCTGGATTACCAATGACCTTGGGTTGGAAGCAAGCCCCAAGTCTATGTTTCCATTATAGCTCTTGCTCTTTCTAGTTTTCAATGTAGGACTTTCTGTTTGAACACATTTTCCTTATTAAGTTAGTCCTATAACTTAAGGGAACCCTAAGTTCCCTTAGTGTTAAGGGAGGAAGAAATGAGGTAAATAATTTCAGCAGTTAGGTAGATAAGTAAGACATTTTTCTAGAATTAGATTCATTTCTTACATGCCAAAAGGGGTAGGTACAAGGAGAAAGAAAAAATTTCAGACTATTAGTATGCATTAAATATTAAGTATAATCAACAATTAAATAAATTCAGTTACTAATAAATTTTTAATGTTTTCTGGTTTCCAGAGAGAAGACAGACTAATTTTGAAAGAAACAAAAGTTTGGATAGAACAATTTGAAAGAGATTTGACAAGGGCACAGATGACAGAATCAAATTTGCAAGATAAATATCAGGTAACATATAGAAAAAGATTTTGATTTTTCAAAAGTTTTCAGAGGTAAGACATATATGCCATTTAATCTATGATAAATTTTTCAAACTACATTAATAAGGAAAGCTTTTAGAGAAATAATATACATTATTTTGTTTGCATATAATTTGATAATCATATACCTATCTACATAGCTAGCTTTAAATTGCATCGTGTTTACAGTATGGCGCTCCAGGTGTCACTACTTGTACAGAATTCAGCCTTCTAGGTGATCAGAACAAACACATGAAGCCATTGTTTCTGTAGAATTCTTGGTTTCATAGTTGTCATCTGACCTAAAAATCCACTTGAATAGGTGCATAACTGACTTGAGCTAAACAAAAATACCATAAAATCAGCTAAATTCAACAGAGGATGGCACCATGAATACTCTGAGTGGGGCCATTCAGGGAATCAGTTTCTACTGTGACCTTCCCAGTTCAAAACTATTGCCCTCAAGTTGAGGTCACCATTGTTGTTGTCCCCAGGATCATTACACTGTCACTAATTGGTTTTCTGCTTCTAATTTTCACTTCCAAGACACAAAATCTTATAACAAGTTCCTCATTAAAAAATTTTGATTTATTTTACCCAGCATTGGCATTTCCCCCCTATTTAAAATATTAAAAACACTACTAAAATAGTTAGTGACAAAAGCTAAACATAATATATTCTGTGTTGTATTCTATATAAATATAAATTCTGTTATATTTCAGTCATTTGGGGCTACAAAAAATGATATGATGATGTGAGAGATTCAACATGGCAGACATCAGTATGATTTTATATAAACGTGTAAAAATGCCTCAACTCGGAAAAGCAATAAATATGTACTTGTTTTCATGCTTTGGAACACAATATAGTCTTTTCCCCTAAGTAAAATTTTCTTGGATGAGCTCTATTTTAAAATGATTAACCCAGTAAATTGAGAACAGAAATTCAAGAGCAGAGTGAATATACTTATTTAGTCCATTGGCGAGTTTTAGTTTTAGCACAAATCATTAAAGGAAATTGTAAGCTATAAAGTTACCTGTTATACCAGACGTTATTTTACGAAAGGAAAGCAAAGGATTAGACAAATGTAAAATGGAAACACCCTTTTTGGGTGAAAATTGATCATTTGCAGTTTAAGAACATGGCTATAGACTCTCTGAAATCTGCACATAGGGGAAATTTTCTTTGATCCTTGCATGTACTCAGCATTTTCTCCCAATTTAGCCTATTGGTTAACACTGTACTTTACACTTTTTCCAAGCATAGAATTTTGTGGAATAAGACTAAAGTTTGATTTTGTTTTTGGTATCTTTAAGTTCCATTAAGTTAGAGGGAATGGTAAAACTTTTATTCACCATCTCCCCCCAGTGTCCTTCATGTGAATTTGCATGTTTATAATTCTGAAATTCTTTTAGATGTGTTTCTACTGGATTCTGCAGGGCCATTCTGTTCTGTAACATAATTGCACATTTTAATGGTATTTTCAATTGATATTTGGACTTTGAATCACATTTTAGGATGTACTAATTTAATGTAAAATGTAAGGCTTTAAAATAGCTACTTGTTATGTTAGTGTTAAACTTATGATAAAGTCTACTTATTATAAGTTTATTTTAACCATTCAGTGACATATTTAATATTTTAATGTTATAAAATTAAAGGACTGATATGTAATTGAGGTGCCCTTAAAGTAAATATGTTCATCTAGGCCTTCTTGAGCACAAAATTAGGTATCTTTAATTAACATTATTTTGATATATGCAATTTCTTTTTGTAAATAGTTTTGTACTCTGAAGTAAATCAACTATCTTCAGTATTGCCATGGATTTATACATCTTTTTACTATTATTTCCTTACAAACATCAGCTGGTTGGCAAATTACTTAGGTAGAAATGAGAAATCACAGGCTTTAGTCCTGTCTTTTCTACTTGTCTTTGCTAAGTCACTTTGGGCTTCGCAATAGTAATGTATAGCTATGCCTTTGGGTAATAGAGAGAGTCAGAGAGAATAATATGCAGAAGGCACTGCACACAGGGTCAGTTTCAAGACTTGATGGAGGATAGCAGTTGTTAGTATCATATCCGCCATTAGTGTTATTTATTATCAACACATACATTGAGTGCTGGCCAAATGTAAAAGTTGTTATTGAGGAAATGTGATTTCCTTTGCTTTTGCTTTTTGTGATTCATTGTCCAGTCATGGTTGTTTTTCCTCTTTTAGTCATTTAAGCACTTCAGAGTTCAATATGAAATAAAAAGGAAACAGATTGAACAGTTAATACAACCGTTGCATAGAGATGGTAAATTGTCACTTGACCAAGCATTGGTCAAACAATCTTGGGACAGAGTGTCTTCCAGGGTAAGTTCCCCCACAATGAATTTCATTGGATTTTATGTACTTTAGTCAAGAAAATGTTCACCATCTTTTCCTACAGTGTTACTGTCCTGTTGCCATGGTCTGAGGTTAGAAAGTCTTAAATATAGGGGCACCTTTACCCTCCTATCAAGCTATCCTACTTACCAGTGGGAGTGCTTATTTTAACGGCGCTATCTTACCTTGCCATTGAAAGCCTAAACATGCTTCTGGATTACTTCTTGCCTTGCAAAACTTAGTTCTAGGTTGTTTAGAAGAGGGAGGTGACTTGTCATGTAGAAGAGTTCCAGGAATGGAGAGTCAAGCATGTCTTACATTTTGTAGCCATGTTTCATCAAGTTCCTGTGTTGACCTGCAATTGTATATTCAGCAATTAAAGCATCTCTTTTTATATGATCGTTCATGAATGTGAAGGAAAATCGCTCAACATCTTTCATACTAATGTCCTTCATCGAGCTTAAAGGCTATGATTTCAAATCCCTGCACCTCTTCTACCCTTAGTAGGAATGTTTGATTTGAATTTGTCATGTTTACTTTGATAATCTCATTTTTCCATTTACTCCATCAGTGAATCATGAAAGTTCCTAAGAATCTCAACCCATCTCACCTGACATTCCAGTAGGTCAGGAAATGGTGCTTGAGAATTGGGTAAAATGGAGAAATGAGCGGTTAGAAAAACTTACACTTGCAGAAGGTATCTTCAAAATTTATCTTCACCTGGTGCTAGAGCTGTTTAGAAAACCCTACTTTTTCTAGAGTTATTCTAATCATGAGGGAGGTTTTAACAGGATTCACATTTGACCACTAGGATACCCATTTATCTGATGGACTAATCACTACATCCTTTGAGCCTCTCTGCAAACCCAGTCTCTTTCCTTTAAGCAAAAGCCAGACTGAAAATCAGTGGATAATTTATGATATTCCCATAGAAGAAAATTGCTTACACTTCTCAATAATATCCTTCCATGTCTAAGATGTATTTTGTTTCCTCAAAAGTTGTGATATAATTTTCTTCCTCATCCTCAAAGCATCAAATTCAGCATCACAGATATTGGCTTATTGGATATTTATCAAATTTGCTTGCATTTGGTTAGTTTAAACATTATATGGACTTCAAATCACTTAGGGAAATTTTTGGCATTGTCTTCTGTTTTAGAGATATTTTATTTTTCTTCTTCTTTTTAATTTCAGCTCTTTGATTGGCACATAGAGCTTGACAAATCTCTTCCTGCCCCTCTGGGGACTATAGGGGCCTGGCTATACAGGGCAGAGGTGGCCCTGGGAGAGGAGATAACCATTCAGCAGGTCCATGAGGAAACAGCAAATACAATACAACGGAAACTTGAGCAGCATAAGGTAAAAATTCTGGCTGGAAAGCTTTTCACAAAATAGTCCTGTAGTCCTCTGGAGATGTCAGCTGATCAGAACCTCCAAACAACCATGCTATGTGATTCAGGGACTTCTTTCTTAGAAGGTCTCTCATTAGCCTTTTCCTTTCCTATACTACTAGTGACAATTCCAGTAGACTGACTTCCTGATATCTTTTCCAATAGCTCTGGGTTATTTTTTCATCTGTAGCTATCGCTGTTATTTCTGTTGCTATAAGGTATATTTTAAATAAAAAGATAAGTGACAGAGGCAAGGACTTAGGTAATAATGTGATTGGCCCTTGAAGCCACACTTCAATCCTGCCTCCATTCTCAAAGGAAGGCAGGTGAGAGTCTTTATGTCGTGATGCTGCGGGGTGGGGGTGAGGGAGTGGCAACCTTAGAGTGGTGGTATTTGGCTTTGATGACCTCTTAGTCAGTCGTTTGGAAGTTTTTCACCTAATGCATAGTCAGTTGTGTAAGTTCAAAAATACTTCTTTGTATTTTATATCAATGCAGACCTAACTCACTCAAGATGATATTTTTTGTTAATATCAAATTAATATAGTTCTACATTTTGTGCAACTGAATTTTTCTACCTCTTTCTCTGTGTCATGGTGGTTGTGTTGCATTGTATGTGTGGAAAGCAAACTGATCAATAGAAATTTCTACTCCTATAATTTCTGTCAAATTATTGATATATGTTTTTTACTTACCCCAAGTAAATAGATTATAATCTATTCTAGGCGAGATCATAAAGCAAATTCATGATAGATTTTGGTCATGTCTGTCTGGAAACTTATTTTTGGAGCTAGACACAGAAATGTCATGTCTGTTCAGTTCCTGACCCTTTAACTCACTGGGCTACAGCTCAATCAAGATTGACAGCCAGATGGTACAGTCAGCTGCAGACCTCACTCAAGGTCCTGCCTCCATTTATACTCGGTGTTTCCTTAGTCATACTCAGTGCCTTCAGACACTTTTACTTATTTTTATTTTTTAAGTTTTAGTTTATTTTTAATCCACATGTAATTATGTATATTTATAGGGTACAATGTGATACTTTAATACAGGTATCCATTGTGGAATGATCAAATCAGGCTAGTTAGCATATCTGTCCCCTCAAATATTTATTGTTTTTTGTGATGAGATCATTGTAAATCTTTTTTTTTTTCTTTTTTGCTCTAATGGGTATTCAGTACAGGTCCTTACACTTGTAAGCAAGTGCTCTACCACTTGAGACACATCCTATCCTTTTTTGTTTATGTTTTGTTTTTGAGACAGGATCTCCCTAATTTTCCCTGGGCTGACCTGAAACTTGTGATCCTCCTGCTTCCATCCCCTGAGTAGCTTGGATTATAGGCATTACAACCACATCTGGCTTTAAAATCTTCTCTTTTAGCTATTGTAAAATATGCAATATATGATTATTAAGTGTAGTCATCATGCTGCGCTATAGAATACCAGAAATTATTCCTCTTATCCTCATTATCCAATACTTCCCATTCCTTCCCCACCCTCCACCCCACCTCTGCTTACCTCAGGTAATTTCCATGCTCCAACATCTATGAGTTCAGCCTTTTTAGATTCCATTTATCAGTGAGATCAATCATATGCTACTTGTCTGTGAGTGCTTACTTCACTAAAAATAACGTCCTCTAATTTCATCCAAGTTGTCATATGCAACAGCATTTCCTGTTTTTTAATACTGAGTAGTTAGTATTCCATTGTGCATGATCCCACACTGTAAAACATTTTTTCATTTAAAAACACTGAGGTTGTTTCCATATCTTGGTTATTGTGAATAATGCTGGGATGATCATTGAAATGCAGCTCTTTGGTATACTGATTTCAATTTTCGGGGCATATAACTGGTAGTGGGATTACTGGAGTATATCTTAATTCTGTTTTTAGTTTTATGAGGAAGCTCCATACTGTTCTCCAAAATACCTGCTGTAATTTAGACTAGCTTCAACAGTGTATAAGGCTTTCCTTTTTTCTACATCCTCACCCACACTTTTGTTAATAGTCAATCTAACAGGTGTGAAGTGATATCTCATTGTGGGTTTAATTTACATTTCTCTTATGATTAAAGACATTGAACAATTTTATATGTAGATATTGGCTATTTGTTTGTCTTAAGACATACCTATTCTAGTCATTTGCCCATTTTTAATAGAGGTACATGATTTTTTTGTTACTGTAACTTGAGTTCCTTTTATGTTTTAGATACTAGACCCTTATACCATGTATGATTTGCAAATATTTTCTTCCAGTCTCTGGGTTATCCCTTCACTCTGTTGGTTGTTCCCTATGCTTTGCAGAAAATGTTTAGTTTGATACAATCTCCTTTGTCTGTTTTTGCTCTTGTGGATGGGTTTTGGGGTCATAGCCAAGAAATCACTGCTCAGACCAATGTCAGGCCATTTACATAGGGATATTTTCCTCTAATAATTTTATAGTTTTAGATCTTACATTTAAATCTTCAATCCATTTTGAGTTGATTCTTGTAGAAGGGATGAGATAAGGATCCATTTTCACTCTTCTGTATTTGAATATGCAGTTTACCCAATACTAATTATTGAAGGGACTGTCCTTCCAAAATGTAGAGTCTCGGCAGTTTTGTTGAAAATCAGTTGATAACAGGAGCGTGGGTTTATTTCTGAGCTCTCTATCCTATTTAATGGGTCGATCTACTCACTTTTAGTTTTACTAATTATCTCTTCATCCTTCCCTTTTCCCACCACTACCAACACACACAAACAAACAGGCAGAATTCCTTATTATCTGGCTTCTCAGATGTCAACATGACTGAGGGTTCTCTCCGTTTGTGTAGCTACACACATGATACACAAACACGAGCTGGGCGTGCTCTGCTTACCTCAGTTCTCAGGAGGCAGTGGGTAGAACTGTAAGAGAGCCAAATTTCAGGCTTCACATCTGAGGTCAAATTGCAAGAAGTTTTCCTGGGATAGAGCCAGGGTTAGGCTTCTTCACAGCCTAGAAACACCTGGGCCTGATACATCTTGAAACTCTCAGTATATTATAAAGAGAAAAAAAGTGCTAATCAGTGTTACACCAATAATAACACTTTAACAAACTCCCAGTTAAATATGTGTTACATACAATATTTTCTCTTCATGTAATACATGTAACAATTGAAACTACTTTAACTTTTGTGAATACTTTATACAAAAGAAGTCACTTGGAGTTTTAAGTAAAATGTAGAATGTGTATCAGTTGTGAGTTCAGTGTGCTAATTGGGCACAGGGACACAGGTGACAGACAAGTTCCAAGCATTTGAGATGCCTCCAAACTAAAGGCTTGAGAAACAGCTGTGTGTTTCTTGCTTATATAATTAAACTGATTCAAATATTCCACCATAGATAAATGGCCCTACAATGTAACTGTGCCATTTACTAGAAAAGAAAGATATTCTGTAATGGTTTTATTTTTATTATTATTTTTAAAAGTGATGTGTACATCAGAACATATTTTTTTTGCAAAGCAAAGTTTCTTATCTTTTCTATTTTCTGGATATGCAATGCTCAGCTATCTAGAAAAATAACAACAACCATAGCTGACTAGTACAGAGAATTTAACCATGTTTCAGTCCTAAAGACTTAATTTTGCTGAAACTTTACATAAAGGACACAAGATAGGTATTATTAGCCCCTTTAAATGAGTGAACTATAGGAAGAGAGAAGTTAGGTGATTTGCCCGAGGCCATGTGGCTGATAATCCCATTTGTTTTTTTTTTTTTTTCATTTTTCTTTTATTAGTCATATGTGCATACAAGGCTTGGTTCATTTCTCCCCCCTGCCCCCACCCCCTCCCTTACCACCCACTCCACCCCCTCCCGCTCCCCCCCTCAATACCCAGCAGAAACTATTTTGCCCTTATCTCTAATTTTGTTGTAGAGAGAGTATAAGCAATAATAGGAAGGAACAAGGGGTTTTGCTGGTTGAGATAAGGATAGCTATACAGGGCATTGACTCACATTGATTTCCTGTGCGTGGGTGTTACCTTCTAGGTTAATTCTTTTTGATCTAACCTTTTCTCTAGTTCCTGGTCCCCTTTTCCTATTGGCCTCAGTTGCTTTAAGGTACCTGCTTTAGTTTCTCTGCATTAAGGGCAACGAATGCTAGCTAGTTTTTTAGGTGTCTTACCTATCCTCACCCCTCCCTTGTGTGCTCTCGCTTTTATCATGTGCTCAAAGTCCAATCCCCTTATTGTTTTAAGCCCTAAACTTTAAGGTCTGGACGGAACACGTGGGCAGTGATTACACTAATTAGTTTATTAGGAATAGTATTAGGAATAGTTTTGCTTTGGCAAAGTAAGGTGTTTAAATCTTAAGAGATCATAAGAGTGGCTATCAGACTTCACCCCCTTTAATCCATCCTTGCTGCTGTATCAACCCTACCTAGGTTACCTTCCCTCCTTTCTTGAGGATTTTATTTCCTGGATGACAATGCATGCCATCATGTTTATTGAGTTCTGTAGCCCATCGTGATCCTCTGAGTGTCTTGGCTTCTCAGTGCCTTCATCTCCTCATCCTCGGCAATCCTGTCCTATGCCCTACCCTTGCCATCGCTCCACCGTCCTACCCAACAATCACCAGCAGCGGCAATGTTAACCCTCCACACCACTTTGTCAACTGTGTCACTCTCCAGCCAAACAAGTCTTCATCCTTCTGTGCCCTATAATCATCAGTTTTATTGTCTTTTTTGTTCTGATCTCCATCCAATTCAATTTCATCATTTTCCTTTATACTTTGTTTAAATTCAGTATTTATATAAGTCATCGCTTGTGATTTATTTGCCTTGTCAATTGCCATTGTTTTGTCCCACTATCCTGGTAGAAACACAACACCGGTTAAGGCCCACCCTCTGCCTCATTCCTGTCCACACACAGGCAGCTATGGTGACTGGAGAACCTGCTCTCCCCCCGCAAACACACAATGACTAACCCAAGTAGGCCTGGCGATCA